GAAACATAAGTATCCTTTTTTCTGCTGCACAGTATCTGTGTGTGAAATTCTCTAAAGGGGTTTAAGTATTTACCCTGAACACTATCAGACAGTTTCTAAAATTTTCCTTATCCTGTTGCAAAAACACTTCAAAGAGAATCATAAACACAGTCCTTTGTGCTTTCAGCACACACTTTGTTTTGGAAGCTTAAGTCTGAATTCCCTCAGAATTGTAAATATTTTTTTTTCTGAAAGATGTGCAATACAAATTCACTTCTGGGTTTTTTTTTTTTTTTTGGAAGATCAGTAGTGATTCTACTATGCACAATGCTGAATCCTTTTCTCCCATCTTTGACAGCTAAAAATATTGGGGTCAAGGAAATTAGTGAAAAAAAAAAAAAAAAAAGCAAGCCTTCAGGATCAGGTTTTGTTTTTGTTGTTGAAGATAAAAGGTACATTTCCAGAAAAAACTGATTCCTAGTGTACATAAAATGCAACCTGCCAAAAATACACTTATTTAAAGGGCCTGGCCTAAACAGATAAGAAGAGCCCCAAAAGACAAGAAATACAGATAAAATTTGGGTCTCTGAGATGCCATGTTGTGCCTGAATTTCACAGCTCATTAGGCAAATACGATCACCCATCACCGTATGGCCCTCCAATAAAGGAGTGTGACACTCCAATATCTAAGCACAACGGGAAAGCTAAAAACGAAATTAAAATAATACCTCAGAATTTCTTGAATTTTGACTGACAAGGTCAAAACAATTCAAATGTCAGTTAAGTTGCTCTGCATTTTCTGAAAGAAGCTGAACAACCAACCAGCCCATTTGTGATCCCATTATCTATTTTTTAAGAAATATAATTGGTTACCTGTTAAAAGTGGCAAAGCCTACAAAAGCTAGGAAGGTTCCTTTTAAAAGTATATTTTATCTTACAGCTTTTAATGGTTCTGGAACTGAAATATTCTGATTTAAATACATATTTAAACCCTTGTTTTAATTTGGCGGGAGGGAATAGAAAAAGAAAAATATATTATAGCCCTGGGCTGAGATTCTGTAGCTCAAGTTTCAGCCTAGACTCAATTCAAACTGTCAGGCTGTAAGCCCCTGAAATAGTGGCTTATAGCTGAAACTATGACATACTTCATATGAGGCAGTAGTAGCAAATAATGAAACAGACCTCAAAAAGTTAAGAAAAATAATTTTACAAGAAAGCAGCCTTGCTCTCTGATTTCAATTTAGTTGTATAAACAGATAAAAGCATGCTATTGAGAATAACAGTAATAATACCACCACCAGCAAATACAGTTTTAAAAAAGTTTTAAAATCAAGGTGAAAGTTGTGCAGAAAGGTATCAGTTTGCATGAAATGCCACTTTGCTCATTGTAACTACAGAGTGTGCACACTTCTGCTTTTACACTACACTTATAAATTAAAAGGTGTCCTGCATTTCATTATCACTAGCTGTTATTCTAGGATGCCAAAAAATGAAACAAATGGTATAACAATTATTTGTGTTTCACTTCTAGCATTAAAAATTAGTTCTTAAGACCTATGTTTCATTCCTTTAAGTAGAGCCTTTATTGTAGACAAATGGTTATTCTGTTAAATGTAACTCCAAATCAGTCATACTTTTCTCCACATTTTAGTTCTACAGTTTTTTTCATCTTGCCAAATTCCTGCATAAATAGGTGAGATTAAATGGAGCCTAGCCTACCTAACATAATTATATATGTTGTGATTTTATACTGCAGTGAAACTGATACATTTTAATAATCCCAGTCTCGGCTCTTACCCACTAAAGTCAATAAAGGTTATTAAGGCCAACTGCCATATAAATACATTGCTACATTGCTAAATGGACTGTCAAACCAGGAAATACAATTCACACCATACAGCACTACTAAGGTCTTCACTCACTTTATTATTTGTTTTAAAAGAAACATTAGATATGTTTAAAAAGTCTTTAAAGATTCGATATTTAAGTATAATCGTATATGTTTACTTTTTATTCCACAAACAAAACCCATTTAATTGATTTGTATTTTACTTATTCAAATGTGAATCGGCCTAAGACGAAATCAACAAAAAAAGACCGTAGGACTTCTGCAGTTCTTACTGATTTGGCATGGTGTTAAAAGATTTTCATAGCTAAAATAAATGTCAGATTGCGAGGTTTGCATGATATCAGACCCTGAGAGACAAATTGTCTCTCCACTGAATCTCCGAACAGCTACAGCAAGACTTCCTCACATCACATGAGATTTCAGCTTTTCAGGCTTCTCTTTACCCAGAAAGCAAAGCTTGTACAGTCTTTTTTCAAATGGTAACTCTCCCTTTGAATTCAGCAAGCATTTATCCTGATGTTGCAGACGATAACGTGTTAATCTTGGATGACTTTTAAAAAAAAAAACCCTCAAACATTTGAATAGCCTTCATATTTTCAAGGGAGGGGGAAAAAAGAGAAGAAGATTGGTTAAACTGCTTTGGATTTAATGGTTCATAAATTCATGAGGTAATATTGTGGGAAATGTGATGTTTTATCAGAATGTCATTCAAATGAAAGGTTTAACATTTACATCACAAGAGCGAGCTCTAAGTAAAACTATCCTCAGGGAAAGAAATGCCAGGAATAAACATTATGATAGAATTGTGTGCTTGCTATAATGTACAAAAATATTAAATAAAGCCCGAAGTTTTGAAGACACTGCGTTAAACTTCCTGCAGTAAAATATTCTGCTGTGACACTGGAGCAATTACAATTAGCAGAACAGAAATTATTTTGGAAATTTTATTTTCTTCTTTATAACTGCTTTACTGAACAAAGGAAAAGAAAACAGAAAAAAGGCATGCAGGGACCCCAAGACTGACTTTTGTATCACACTAGACACACATATAAAAAAAAAAAAAAAAGTCAAGAATTGTTCAGCTCATACACAGAAGTATTTTCTTATAAGAAATAATTCTTTATAAGCAACAATATTTTTTTCTGTGTCAAGATCAACAATTCTAAGACTTTTTTATTTTTAGCATTTTGACACTATATTTTTTTTTTAAATCATCCAGCTAAAATTATAAGTTTGGAGAAAAAAAAAAAATCTACTGTAGACTACTGAGTATGTTCAGAAATACCTTTTTGATTTAACTTAATGCTGTGGAAGCTAAGCATGCACCAAAACACTACACTTTTTATGTTAAATTGCTGTTGAATTTGTTAACCCACAATTGATTTCCTGTGTTATGGAATCTTAGAGATTACAGCTAACTTGAAGCAACAGGGATAATTCTTGATGTTAATGCCACATTTCTATGTATTTTTACCAAGTCGGTGCCTGTTGTTGCATTAAAACTGCGGCTCAACATTGCCCCCTACTGTCATTTTGTGAAACACTAACGGACAAAAAGGCAGGTTAAATCCAAAAACACCCACCCTACCTCTGAGTCCCAAATACAGTAAGCATCAAATTTAGTTAGAGACTCAACAAAACAGACATTCTCAATTAACATTCTCTTCTGTCTCCTTCAATAGCTGAAATTAATTGTGATTAATATGTTATAAGTCATAAAACATTAAAGCAATTTTAAAAATTTAAATTAGAAGCAGCTTCTGTCTTGGCCCAACCTTCAGTTTGCTGATAAATATCATCCTGAGGCCTGTTGAAAGGAGATACACTGACGCCACCATGTTTCTAATTAGAGACACATGGTAATGTCACACCAACTGCAGAAAACCTAACCCTTGAGAATTCCTGATTTTGCTGTTTTTCCATGTTCTCAACACACAATGGATATAAAATAACAATCAAACATTCTTGTCCCTACCTCATCTAAGCCTGTGTTACAAGAGAGTAAGTTGTCATTTGAAAGAAAAACAAACCAAAAGATTTTTTTAAAATTATAAAGGTCATTCAAGAATGAGAACACGTAAGAACACAAAAATGAGGAAAGAAACCCACATAAACAAGTTACAAATAATTTCTTTCCTTTCGTTGGAAACTTTCATGTTCACTGATTCCTTGTGGCAACTGATTCCACAAACAAAAGCTCCAGTTTTCCACACTTGTTTTCCAAGTCTGAAACCAGCCACTGCTTGAAAAGCTTACAATAGGTTTGAGCAGGTTAGTGAGTCACAACATTCCCCTCAAAACTGGAGACCATATTCTTGTTGCACCATACCTCCGGAGAGTCAGGAAGACCTCTACGACAAACCATATTCAGCATCCTCAGTTACATTACAAACTTTTCCAAGTCAACTACAAGCAAATTAAGGCTGGTGCTGTGACCAGCAGAAATGACCGAGAAGAAGCTTCTAATGCAGACATAAGGATAGGAGTAAGACACGTTTGTCATGAGTGCCTTCTCTATACCAATCTAGAAGCAGGCGTGCCAGCAGTTGTATCACACACTCACACAAGCCCAGTCTCCCCAGTAAGTCTCTGCTCGGACAGCAATGGCAAGCAGGCTAACAGTGCTCGCACCGAGTCCACTTGCAAGGAAAGCAGGGATGCACTTTCAAGTATACAGGAACCAATATCATGACAATTATTCAAGAAGCTCATCTCCTCTGGTTGGTTCTATCTATGGGGTAAGCGTGCAGGTGGGCTGCAGACAGTTGTACCTCCAGATCATCAGAACTGACTCTCAACTTTCCTCAGATGCATTCACTATTGTTGTCATTGGCAGAGTTGTCTATCTCGGTGCTGTACGGAAAAGCTGACAAAGCACAGTTTCATGTACCAATTGGTGGGATGTAATGTACGACTGTCATCTTATGAGGCTGTCAAACTTTAAAAACAAACAAAATCAGGAAATAACTAAAATCTTGATTTGTTGAATCATATTGCTTCTGGCTACTGGGGAGAAAAATAAGAGAAGGCAGTGGAAGGCTGACAGTGATTCTACTTGTCATATGTTCTGAATAAAGTTTTAAACCCGCTACTACAGTACAATTAAAAGCATAATTGTGTTTGCTCTCAGAATTAATCTCTAGAGGCTTTAGACTATAAAACTAGTACTTACCATAATCTCCATTTTTCTCCAAAATTCTTCCAATTTAGCCATAGGCTTAAGCCACCAATCAGTGCATTTCAAATACCGCTTGACTTGAAACCAAAACTGCCGAAGCCACTCAAATTCGACCTGCAAGATAAAAACATATGGTAGCATAAACATCTACGTTCATTATTTGGGGCAGGAATGGAGTAACGCATGAATCCAGCTATACCTGAACAATCCCACAGAAAAGGAGAAGGCTACCAAAGCACTTGTTCTTAAATGCACCCTTACACCCAGCTGTTTCATTTATTTCCATTCCACATGAACTTGTGACCTGAGCTACTCCCTTCAAACCCAGAGAAGTGCAAAACCCAACTCTTTTCTTTACACGTGGCACACGTAGAAAGAACATTAAAAGCTCAGGTTTACTCACAGTTCAGTCAAATATGAACCAACTCTGGCTTATTCTGATTAACACTGCAGGTTTCAAAATATCTCAGTCGAAAAAAAAAGACTGGAAAAACCTGCAGTAATGACAGGGCTAGAGCGCAGCCTCGTCAGCTGCCCTGGCACGAGAGCGTAGCGTTACAACCAGTCATAGTTTCTCGCGTTTTCCCACCCAAAGCGGTGGCCTGACGGGTGATCTGTGACGTCAGCCGTCAGGGGACCCCGCCACGCGCCCTCAGCTCGAGGGGGGGGGGGGGGGGGGGGGCGGGGCCTCTCCTGCTCCCCCTGCCGGGCCCGCGGCCACGCCCCCCGTGAAAGGCAAATTCCGGGTACGTGGAGCCGGGGGCCCGTGGGGACAAAGCGGGGGGGGGGCTGCGCTTTGCAAAGACACCAAATCCTCCATGGAAGCAACGAGAGAAAAAAAACAGGAAAAAGAAAAAAATCCATCAGGAGCAAGCCAATACTCTTATTCAGAATACAAACCACCACAAATTTACTAGTTGGGTTTTTTTAGAAAAATTCATCTATGGATGGCCAATCACCTTTAAGATGAGAAATATTAGCTTACTAAAACATAATATAAATACATAACTCATCAAATATTCTTTAAGCAAAATATTTTCATTTATTCTAACTTTTACTGAGCCTTTTTTCCTTTAACAGTAATCCACTGCTCTGGTCTTTAGAATTCTGTATTTATCTTTGTTGTGGTAGTTAGGTTTCACACCAAGTTCAAAGCTACTTTAATCATTATTTTTACCACAAAGAAGTTCTTGTTTACCCCTGCTCAGCTCCAATGATGCAAACTAAGACAACCTGCCAAGGTGAAAGAATAAAGAAAACTGCCCAAAGCTGTTGCCTAATGCTTTCTTTCCTGCAAGAGTGAACTGAATGTGTACACAAGTCTGAAAGTGTTCCAATTAACATTAACTAAATGTTTGGTCAATACATGTTAAAGATTACAATAAAAGACACTTAAATTTGAAGTGTATAACAAGAATATCAAAGCAACTTTGTTGGCAAAATAGAACAACATGATTTGTTGGCAGATATAGATCTCAAAATATTTTCAAAAAACCTGACTGCTAGCCTAGTGACTCTTTAGCACAGAAGTTTGAAGACATCCTTCCTAAAAACAGCTGAAGGAAAGTTTGCTTCCTCTACAGTATTAACAAGGTATGAAGGACCAAGTTATGGTTTGTTAAAAAAAATCAGTATACACTGTTTTGGGAAGGCTGAGCACATTGACAGTTCAACTAGAGGTTTAAGCACTCCATACTTTTTTCTCCCCCCACTTCTTTTTGGTTTTGCTGGCCTCTACCACAAAAGGGCTGTAACACATGACGTCTGGCAAACATGTTTCATAAAGTGAATCACATGAAGCTATTAATCAATAAAAAAATTTTTAAAAAAATTTAAATCAATGTTACAATATGTCTTATCATGAGAAGAATCTACCTCAGTCAACCTGATTTTTGAGTAGTCATATTGATTTGTTACATTAATCTATGTAATTTCAGCCTAATTCAAATCTGGCATCTTGGCCAAATTTTAAATGTATCTTGATTCTATACAGAATATACAACTTGATACAAAAGAGAAGCTTTTTAGGTGCAAGAGGTAAATCTTAGCAACAGGCTAGTTAATTTTCTCCAGGATAAGCGGGTCTCATCAGAGGTTAGTGTACCAAATTGCAACATGTGGATTACCATTAGTAAACGGTAAAAGGGCGCTCAAACTCAGGTCTACATTCATCTCACAATGTCTCTGTTTAGCTCTAAACAGAGTTAATAAAGTGGATTAAAAAATGTTTTATCTACCAACTTAGCCATCAAGCTGCCTGACAAGTGACTGCTCTGAATTATCACTACTTAACAGATAACTGTTGATTCTGAAAGAAAACAAAACAAAACAAAACATCTTGATGAGGCAATGGTGACATGACCTCTCTCTATCACACTATCCTTGTTTTAGATATATGCAAGCATAAATACTTAAGTTTTGCTAAAAAATTCCAGAGATTCCAGTTATGCTGTTTGTTTGGAATTTGTAATTAACACATGAACACTTTTTACATCACATCCATTACCAAGTATATGTTTTAACAAGAACATATGCTATCTGCTTCCCAAGTTCTCTTACAAGCTGTACGTCCTCTTGCTTTCAACGAATTCTATTCAGTAATATCTTTTCCTGTAGCAGGAAGGCACTCTTGTCGGTTTGCCTCCTTCCACAAACAGGAAAAAAACCCACAACGGTAAATACTGGAGAGACACAAAAAGCTCAATTCTAGCCTTAGTGAAACTGAACTTTACAGAACATTCACCTTCTGTGACAAAACTCTGAGGTTAACAGCTCTTGCCAAGGATTTTGTTGAAGAGTTTTTATTTGGAGACTCCCACATATCAGAGCTAAGTTTAGTTATCATTAGAAAGCGTTTTACATAACTGAACAGGACAAAGCTTAAACATATTAACATATAAAAATAGACATGCTGAGTGTTTTGAGGAACAATTTTCATATCCTAATTAGTTTTCTCTTATGACTTGCATATGTGCGAGTAAGCTCAGAATCAGGCCTCATATGTCTAACTTCAACATATTTTCAAGTTGTCCTATAAACAATGATTAAAGGCCAATTTTAGGTTATAGTCAATACTGAGTAGTAAAAGGCCAACAGTAGCATTTGACATTTTGTGAAGCAGTGCTCTTCAGTAAATTATTTAAAAGTATTGGTTATTAAATGCCACACATGTAGGTGATCTATATTTTCTCTCTGTTTTACTAGCCAGCCACCAACCATGCTGTCAGCTCACTGTGATGTGCTAAACCATATTAACCTTCCTTTGGCTGCGTACACCGATACCATTTCTCAGCAGTGACCTCAGTGTCTAACACCATACACCTTCAACTTAGCTAGCCCAGGCTTTTCTACATCCCTGTACATTCACCACTTTTAAATTTAACTACTGCTGCCATAAAAAATATTTTTCTCTGGGCAAAAGTGACTGTACAATACAAGCAACAGAGCAACCAATTCAGTCTCAAGTTTTAATCATGGTAATCATGGCTGAGGAAAAACCCTGATGAGGCAAACCCCTACCTTTTCAAACTCGAGTACTTACTTTGAAACCTGCTACAATCAACACAATCCCCAGATGTTAAAAAAAACTTCCTCTAGTGTTTTACTTCAAAGAAAATACACAATTATTAGTTTGCTATTGGCAAATAAAGAAGCCTTGAAACTACCTCACACAACATGAACTATTACCAGGTTTTGCACTACTCTGAGCAAGGAAAACAATTGGTCTCTGAAATGTGAAGAATAGGCTGGTGATCATCTTTTCTGCAGATTTAGTTTTATAAGTATGAGCATTTACATCATCTGTCCAGAAGTGCTTTATTACTTTAAAAAGCATTTACTTGCCAAGGGGATTCCCCAGGTCCCCTGTAGCTCTGTTTGGGACATACCCAGGAGCTGTATGTATTTTGGAAAGCCAAGGGTGATTCAGCAGGGGCAAGAGGTTCATATTCAGTGAACTCCGCAAGATCATTTATTTCAGGATAAATTATTACTGGCTAAACAGCAATGTGATTGCTTAAAGGGGTAACTTCAATCTCTAACACTCTGTGCGCATTGTTAGGCTATTGTACTTCACAGCCGTCCAGGTAATTGCGTCTGTTCACCCTGCTACACTGTTCACCAGATACCCTGCCATTGAAGTATTTGTTCAGACTTCAAGCCCATAAGCTACTGAGACAAGCAGCACATGAACACCCTTAATTAAGTTTATCTTTACTTACAACTACAAAGTACATACTGGGAGTGAAGTGACTCACACATACCTCACAATTACTCAGATATTCCTTTGAAGACTGTTTTGGTGTGGGAGACCACAACAACAAAGCTAAGTCTAAAGAAATATTAAACTTTTACCTGGCTGCCCGCTAGAGATGCTTAAAAACTTCCTCAGATTAGCATTTTACTTTTTTGACAGGAATACCTATGTCAAGACGTTCAAGACAAGGCTCTGACAAATGAACTCTGGGAAATCTAACATCAGTAAAGACATCCCCCAGATATTCACCCATATCTCTTTTAGAGGTTCTTCTGCCCAGCACAAAAATTGAAGAAACTAAATCTCCACCTATGCTTCAATTTTTCCGTTCAAGCTCACTTTATCAGCACAGCAAGTCGATTTTCCTGCCGAAGAAAACAAAAGTGAAGGCACGGAGTCATACCTCATTTTTTCAGACTTGCTCTTAGGCTTTTTTTTTCCCTCCAGCAGACACAGATTATTCATCCGGGCCTCATTTGGCAGAGCAGTTAATTTAAGCACCGACTGTGAATCTGTGCTAAACTATAGCTTAGTCACACATAGCCTGATAGTACTGTGACGGTTCTGTTCCAGTTAATGACCTCTGATGACTACTTCAGAGGTGCCAGCAAGAGGGATAAAAAAGCCAAACCCATAGCATTTCAGGAAGATAAAGAATCTAGAACAGTGGCTGCATCTAGTTATCTGAGTTAAACCCTGTGAAGAATTTCAGTTATGACAATATTTTAAAATAAAATACAACTGTATCACCACCTCTGGAGATGAAATACTACCTTATTTCAAGCTCACGATCTCTGGTCTAGAGGAACAGAAAAAAATCCACAAGTAGGTTTAGAGCTAGCACAGGAAGCTGTGTATCAGGCAGAAATACACACGCAAAATCAGGTGGCAGTTCTTCATTAATTCTGTGTTTGTCTTTTTGTACAATTTTCTCTTTTGTATTTAAAAATACTAACAAAGGAAAAAAACTAAAACAGTGATCAAATCCTGACCACACTGATCAAATGAAGACTCATTTTCATCAACAGTTTGATTCTTAAAGAAAAAAACCATGTTCTTGTTCTTCACCTGTCTGAGAAAATTTGAACCTAGAACCTGTACAAGTGCCTGAAAATACAAAGATTTATCATGCATCGAGTAAAAGAAAGTAGGAAACTTTTATATGCAAAAAAAGTTGCATCAGCCCCACAGATCTGAACGTTTTCACTGATGTGAAACACTGATATGAAACAGATCACTGTTTTCACTTTAGTGATGTTCAAAAAAGAAATGTGCATTTACCACAGCGATAAGCCACTAGTAATTTTGTCTACTTGTGCAGCAAATAAATGAAATTTAAGTAGCACTTTAACATACGGAATTTATCCTTCAAGTGAAGAGGTGACCTTGGGAGAAAAAAAATTTATAAAAGGAAAAAAAAAAGAGGTTACCATTCTCTTTTCAAAAGAAATATAAATCCAATATGTCTACTAAGTCTAAATGTGCAATATGTACAACTTAAACAATGATTTCTCTTACAGTATATCCCATATGCGTAACAGGAAACATCCCTGTATGTCACATAGCAAAATTATTCAGGTGACTGCAAACACCAGGGGCTAGTCTCTCACCTGATGTAAATGGCACATGTCTTTGATGTTAAAGGACCCGTGCAAATTTACACCAGCTGTGCATGTGGCCCTAGCTGTGCAAACCACATATGCGTGTAGTTTTATGGACTGAGCCTGATTAATGTTTTGTGAAACCCTGCATGCATCAGACTTCTTTAAATTGCTCTAGGAGCTGCTTTGCTAAACGTCAAGGGTGCAAATCTTTTGCCATCACTATACTCAATTTTACCTACCGTAAACACAATACAGATAAAAATGTGCTCTATGAAGTTTTAGTAACAATACACAATATTATATTCCTCAGCAGATAGCAATTTAAACAGTTCACACAAATCCTAACGTGAATCCAAATTACCTATGTACTATACAGCTTCTAATAGTGATCATATTTATCTTAGTAGAAATACAGCGCAGCTCTCTCAAAATGCCTGAATATAGGAGTGCTGTAAAAAAACCACTGATATTCAAGCAAAAAGTGGTCCAAAAGTTTGTATTAACTGGTTGCTACAGCTGTTTTTGAAGAGAGATGATCATTGGTGCTTTACAGTTAGGAACAGCCGAAAGCCTTGTTTCAGGTAGACGGACAGCTTTCCAGAGCAGCTAAACAATCTTGTCATTTTAAATTCCTAATACATAGCCTTGACTACATTTTCTGCAACTTTAAGAAAGAAAGAAAAAAGACTAAGTTGACTGTCTTCAGAAACACTACCTCTGTAAGAAGACACAGTCCATTGTCACATCACTGACTCTATCTATTAACAGAGAATAAACCAAATTACACTTTTTGTGACACTGTCTACTTTTATACCCCAGGAAAAATGACCTGTTCCTGCAGTTTCCCAAAGCACTGTCTGATATTTTCAGTTCATTTATCAACTCAGTGTGTTTATTAAGACCCTAAATCTGTACTTCAAGCAAGAAAGCTGCAATGGAATCCTGTGCAAGTGCATTGTTACACTTGCATATTTTGTAGCACAGAACAACTTGCTTAAATATGTTCCTCACAATTATTTCCACTGTATTTTCTTCAGAATGTACTTGAAAGAACATACTCAAAATTCTGTCACACCTGGCATTCTGTAAAAACCCGGTTCAACACTTGATGAACAACTGAAAAAATTTTACCTGCTCTTTCTCTCCAATTTTTTGTTAGAGAAGTGCTGGAGAGGTTTGGTTTGTCCACCACTACCAGATTTCATGTAATATTACTGAAACTACTCTTACACACTACCAGCAGAGGGATCTTAAGAATGAAAAAAGCTAAAATTTCATGGGAATGAAAGAATCAATCCAAGTTAATCCCAATTACTGTACCCAAGTAAAAAAAGTCATAGAAAACACATTTTAAATTTACACAGAGCAATGCCTTGTGAGCAGCTGAACACACTTAATTGCCGTTAACTACACGAGCAGACTGCACCTTGAAGAAACTGGCTGAAGTATTTTCAGTGCAGATCATCTCACCTCATTATGTATTTCTTCTACTTGCTTTACAACTGCAGTTTCCAGTGATTTCAAAGATAAAGCCACTGAATCAGAATCAGTCTGTAAATTCTGGAGTGCCAGTTCACATCGTCCAAATATGTATTCCAATGTTCCTCTTGAACACTATAAAGATACAATAAAAAATTTATATATAGCCACTTGAGAACATATGTATTTCTCAAATATACTGAACTATTTGCTTCTGAAATAGCCAAAGTGAAGGAGCAGAAGGGATGTATTTCTATATCGTTATTTCATGATCTTTTAAACAAAAGCGTAATGCGTCCTAGATTGTCTATACAGTTATTGATAGAAATTATGCAAAAGTCTAATCTATCAAACATCTAGTCAACTATTACATCATAGACTGAAAGGAGAAAGTAAACAATTCCTTTTAAATTTACATTAAAATAACCCAGACAAAAACATGGCCAGTTTTTGACAATATTTCAGTACCACTTGTATTTGCCCAGTTGTATGGGCTTCCAGTAACACTGAAATGGAGTTCCACATCTAGTCTGAGACACTTGTTTGCTTACAAGGTATAGAGAATATGAACAAAACAATTTTGTACTTCTCCTTTTATTTTATTTCCATTACATTTCCTTCAAAATTACGAGGAAATCTGTAAAAATCCTTTTGGAACAAAAGAAAGAAGACCTCTACATCTTTTAATTATTTTCAATTAATTATCTGTACCTTCAGTTAAATTTCCAGGAACAGTCTTGAATAAGGACCCCCTGGGTTTCATATTCTTTGTTAAAAATCTCCACATGCTATACAACTTGAAGTCACAATAGTTTTAAAAAAACAAAGCATAATCACTTAATAGAGAAGCTTTTCATACTGCAAAAATAAGTGTGTATTTTCCTGCAAAAGTAACAGAGAGACAGGAGCAGTAGGTCAGAACACTCTTAAAATGAGAGATAAAAACCACAGAATTATTTGTTTTAACATATGCAGTGTACTTTATGTCAAAGCCCAATTCAAGCAAGCATAGTGTATATTTGCTTGGGAAATGAAGTTTTTATATTACAACTTATATGTATGTCTATGTTTGGTGCTATTGCTTCATTTCCATTCCTGAACAAATCAGGAAGAGTAATGGTGAAAAAGAAGAAGTACATGGTTACATCAATCTCTGTTGTTTGAATAGTGGTATATTTTTCCTCACTGAAATAAGAAAGTGGTAATTGTATTTTTTAAAAATACCTTTTTACAATACAGTCTTGTTATTTCTCTGTATGCTTTCCCATCAGAATACTACATAAACAGAACTACTGATATCACCATGGAAAGGAATAGGAAGGAGAGGTCTAGTGTTAAAAAACAAACAAAAAAAAAAAAGAAAAAAAAAGAGAAAAAAAGAAAATGTGTCTCTACAGTTGAGAATATCAGGCTGAAGCCTTGTTATCTCAGAATGACACTGAGACTGAAACAAGGGACTCTGTATCACTTTCCTGCTTCTTCAACCCTCAGACGCACAGAAGGATACCATTTAAAGCATACTCATGGCTGCTCTTAGTTGCTCTGTTGTTCTCACCTTCTAAAGGCCATTTTTGCCAGTGGACACTGTTGATGTGCTTTGAATATTTCTATTTCATCACGAATACTGCCTTTCAACCAGGACCAGGATATGAACACAGCAAAAAAGTTTTAAAACATTTCAGGTAAAAATACAGCTGTTTCTACGTTTCATCAGTAATCCATGAGGTGTGGTGTAGCACATTAATTCATATCTCATATGCCTAACTGTGAGTTTAGGCAAACTACCAATACAGAAACAAGTGTACCTCAATCCAAAAATAAACAAACAGCAGTTGTTCAGGACAACAGTTTGAGTCATAAGCATAACTGTGAACCACAATTCTGGATAAGACAACATGATGCTACATATATGGTACTAGAATATTAGTTTTATGAATGACCAAACAGCAAACCATTTTTGATACTTACATCTGCCACTCTGTGAGTGGAGCTGAATCGAGGTGAAAAACCAGCCAGAACACAGTGCTGGTGCGTCATATTGAGATCATCTAGGGACAGATTAGAAAACCTTAAGTACAGGGGAAAGTTATACTTAATAAAACTTATTATGGCTGAATACGAATTAAAGACACTACATTAGGCATTTGGAGAGAGAAAATAGAGAATTCAGACAGATAGTGCTATCTTCATAGAACTCTAATGTTTAGAAAAGCATGATAAGTATCCACTGTTCTAGTGTTACAAATGTCTCTATTCGTATTAGTTTTCTCCCTGTTTATACAGTTTCAAAGTGGCATTTTCCCAACTCTTATGGGAAAAGTTCAACTGAACAAATTAATTCTTCCAAAGTTGAGGATCACTATAAACAAAATGCTACTCAAATTACAATCTCTTTTCTCAAAAATCACTGAATAATGCTGACATTCCTTACAAAAAGAAACAAAACAAGAGAAAGAAAAAAGACATTATTGCACCCTTTTATCTGAAACTTATGTGAAGTTCTCCCTTCACCTCAGAGTCAAGAAACTGGGAACCCAGAAAGCACAATCTGTTCAAAGACCTGTCTCCAAAGCATTTAATTTGTGACTTTCTTGTAGCCTGCCAGAGGGCTGTCATGGGCTTGCATTCACAAACTGGTAAACAACCAACCCCACAAGCCCTGTAGATGGAACTAACTTGGTTGCCATCATAGTTCCATTGTGAAAAATTAGCACTTTTTAGAGAAAACATATTCCTCTGGAAAATTTCAGACCAAATCTAGTAACAACAGTCACTGTTACGTTGAAAACCATTCATTAAGTGCTTTCAATTTAAACAGTTTTTGGTGTTAAAATTATGGTGCTCTCTCAACATTAACAAGACATTCAGGAAAATCTATCAAAAGTTTCTGTAAAATCACTCCTAGGTTACAGTTTTGTAAGTTAGTAGAGAGAGACTAAAAAACCCATACAAAACTAGGTGACCTGAAGCATCACCAAGCAAAAAAACCATCATCGACAAAACTAGAAGAGACCAGGAATAGAGACCTACAAGATGCTAGTTAACTTGGAGTCTGTATTTTCAACAACATCTGTTCTATCAGAGAATTTAGCTTCAGTTATCCTAATATAGATGATGAGAAATTATCAAGCTTCATCCTTCCATCACATAATTTCTCTTCAAGACATCAATACTTGCATACCTGAAACCTGATATCCTAAGTTCCTACTATTTTTTGAAAATGCTCTTCTAATCAAAATAACAGACCATCAGACTGAAAAGAACACAGTGTGTGAGGTTTAATGGAATTCTCTTTATTACTGAAAAAAAGATATGCGCCAAAACATTTACTTCACCTTGAAACAAGCCTGAAACTTCAAAACTGAGAAGAGTCTAATGAATAAGAACTCAGAAAAATGACTGAATTTATCCCAGTTGTGAGAACAGTGTTGTCTTTTTAGGAATTTTATAAGTAACTATTAACAAAGTTCATACACAAGACAGCAGATAGCACCACAAACTTGAAAAAAAAAAATAATCAGAAAAACAATTTATATAAGGAATAGACGGACAATTGTTATGAAATAGGATAGAATTCCCACTGAGAAAGTTTAGATGGGAGGCTTGGCTTATTTTCTATTTGCATGAGGTTTTCAGATAGGTGAAGTAGAAAAGCTTGAAGAAATGCTCCAAAACAAACAAAAAGAACATAGGAAAAAACAACTCCCTACATAAAAATATGAGGGTTAAATTGCATAGAGCCAAGTCTTGCAAGGGCCACAGAACATTATGATCTCTGAACACTGTAATATTTAAATATTACAATCACTTTCAAGAAGAATTGTGACAGAAAACAAATGTAAACACTTCTACCCATTCATTGTGGTGCGTTTTACATAGCAAACACAATGTTAAAAGTATTAGAGTCTGATTTGCACCTTTACTCAAACCCTTGGCAAATCTTTCATTGTAGAACTCCACCTTGAGATCGCTTTCAACTGTCTCCAATCTTTTATGACTTGCAGAAAGAAGCCTGTAATTTTAATTTCAGAGTTTATAATTTATCTAAAACTGTAATTTTAGAAAAATAGTTGAAGCTTCATGGATTGCATGTCTCAAAGGATATTTGAAAAATACACTCTAGGTCTTAAAAGATTTTAGTAAAGATTTGCTTTACTTTTTCTCCTAAAAATGTATTAATTGAAAAGAAAAACCGCTCTTTGTTAAATTGGCCATCACCCATTTGGCAGCAAAAGCTTTTATTCAGATACAGAAAACTACATCCAGATCACTACTGGGTTTTAGAGCCAGACCAAAACTGTTACCTTCCTTGGACACCCATGCCATAGCGCTTTTGTGGTTTTAGGTAAAATACAATACATACAGAGTTAACATCAGTTTTACATGGCTAAACACTGATCAATGAGGTTTGGAAAACCAAACCCAAAGCCTCACCAGTATTATACATGACATAACATACATGCATATAAAAGTAGGAATATACATGTCAGTCCTGCTTTGGAAAACTGCATGATGGCAAGTTATTTGCCTGACAGTTCTCCTGAATTTGTGGTGAGGTAAGAGCCAACACAGTGTCTTTTCTTCTACAAAACAGTGGACACATATTGCCACAAATTCAGGACAACCATGGCAGGGACATTTCATTTCGATATCTAGCACAAAAAAAAAACCTCACAAAAATTATGTGAACTGAATAATGCATACAAGAAGTGATTTTTTTTTTCTTTAAATCACCATTAACACCAACTTAGAAGTGTATGTAGCACAGTTTCAAGAACTGTCACACAATTCCTTCTCCTTCTTAAAAGGCTTGCCTTCCATATAGATGCTTACGAGATGCATATGGCAATTAACTAACTGCTAGGTAGGAAAGAAGTTTTGAGAATTGGACAATTTTCTGCTTACATGACTGATCCTCTCCCAAAGCTTTCCCATGCCTGTGAAAGACAGTCACTTGCAGACTATGTTTCTGAAGTCTGATGCAGCTTTTTGCTTGTTTACAAATTTTAAAACACTACAAATTATCCAAATTTAAAATAGTAATTGTAGAAAACAATCAAGAAAAACTAACCAAGTCCAATACATGCTAGCGTGCTATTCTGACCAAAGAGAATTTTCTCAGTCCAAGTCTAATCACAGACATTAAAGCTATTTATAGTTACCCATATTAACAGGATAACATTGTGCCACCAGTCACTGTGCAAGCGTGGATGGTTACTTGCGCTTCAGGCAGTATATTGCCTAAACCACTTTCACCCAACTACTGACAATATTGTAAAGAGCTTGTTTGCATTCAAAGGAACACAACTTAGTTGGTAACAAACACTTGGTGTTTGAATGTGGGACAAAATAACTTCACTTTTCTGTCTGAAGTGGAGCACTAAAGAAACAAGGAGACTATTTCCCGCATACACGTATATGGCAAAATCCGTATTCTTTTAAATGGATTGCTTTATTCTTTTATTTCTACTACTTTCTGACTGCCACTTCCCAATGAATCATTTGCCACCTTACAGCCAGATCCCATTATTGGGCTACTATAGCGGAGGCAAGATTTATTAAAAGAAATTAATCACATGTATGATTGTGTACAGGTGGCCAAAGCCACCTTGGAAAACAAAGTTATCAACTTGAAGTATGTTTAAATGATTTGGAGGTCAGATTTTGACTTTACAGATGAAGTACTAAGAAGTCCTAAGAATGTTTAGCAGACGATCTGATTGGCTGCAAATGCATACAATTACTTGACACAGAATCTCCAGATACAGAAACTTCAGATAACACACCTTGTGTAAAACATAGTTACAAAATGGAGTTTTTATTTAATACAGACCCCTATTCCTCACACCTGCAGGAAAAAGAAAAAAAAGCAAAAACCAAAACCAAAACCCAAATAACAGAAAACCATCTAAGCTACTTGGTGCTTTAATACATTTATCCATGCAAGGCCTCTAAAGTCGATAACTGACACAGAAAAACCTAAGGGTAAGGAGAGGTTAAGGGACTTGACAAAGTTTGCATGGAAATTCTCTGAGTGAAGCAGGCTTCCAGCTCCTAAAACTAGTGCTATCATTTTAACACCTGAGCACCCTTCTACTATCAGATGTAGACTACGATTCTATATGTGGACCCCCTTATCAGACAAGCTTCTCAGTGATTTTCCTGCTATTTACAGCAGAAACATTTTGGAACTTGGAGGCTGTATATTCTATTTTAAATTGTGGGAGCAAGTTCATGTCATAGATCTTTCTGTTCCTCCCCCGTACAGACTTCTGCCATCCTCTTCTTTTCTCAGATACATCCCTCTCAGCATGGTTCTCTCCACTACTTGGAACTACTGCCAGTTCCTCTCTCTTCTCTCCCATCCTGTTCTCGGTCCCTGTCCCTGCTCTGCCCACACCTCACGCTGTGCTTCCTTCTACACACCTGAATTAACTGGGCACTGACAGCAGAAACACTGAAAGCCCTGTGCTTGTATAGCCTTTGTCAAAAGAATGGACTAATGGATATATGTACATACATACACTTAACAAACGTACGTATACTTAACTAATTCTATTACTTAACTAATTATCAGAGCACCAGTGAGGTGAGGAGCCAAAGCACTCAGAGAGAAACAATGACTGTATACCCATATCACTGCAGATTATGAAGACATAAAAAATACAAAGTAGAAAGAATGGAAATTAATTCTTAGCCAATCCTCACTGAAAGGAGTAGACTAAAGGCCTCAAACTTATTATTTCTAGGTAAAGTACTTCCAAGGAAAACACAGAATTAGCAACAAAGGTTTATATTGACTTTTCTATCTTCTTTCAAGTGTTCTTCCTGAACTTTTCAGGCAGTTGTCTTTTTGTCATCTATTTCATGAAGCAGATAAAAGGTACTTTGGGGTTTAAAGCACTGGCAAAACCTTTGATATTCTAAACACCACAAATATCTACAAACAAAACTGAAATTCACTTGTGTTATTAGTTTTCTTAACTGCCATAAACGAATAAAGAATTTTCTTTTTAACCATATTATAGTGCAATTTTCAAAATCACTAAAATGCTTTTCCACCATTTCCAATTCTACTTCCATCCAACTGCACAAAATGCTTCAGCAGGAGAAAACCTAACCAAACTACTTTTATTGTAGGTATGTCAACAAGTACCAAGAAGGTGTGTCTACTTCCCCAAGAAATTATGGGTCAGTGGAATACTACTTTCATAACAGAATGCCAGGGGGATGATCTGTCCCTAACTGAGAAATAGTTTTGGTTTTTAAACAAGAGAAGTGTTCACAAACAAAACACTGAATTAACTAAAAGGCTGAACTAAAAAAAAAATAATAAAAAAAAGTCTGGGATTTGCCAAACTTCATGATCAAAGTTCGGTAACTACAAATACGTTTCTGGGGTTCGAAGTCTTAATAATCAAGGAATACAGCATTTGGATTAAATGTGGACTCAAGGGGAAAAAAAAAAAAAAAAAAAAAAAAAAAGGGGGTTAAAAAACTCCAACACATTCAAGATGCTAGAGAGCAAATAGGGTTCAAGTTAGTTTGCGAAAATAGAAGCAGATTAAATATCTAGAAATAGTTTAATGAGCCACTATATACATGTGGAAGTGTTTCCATTAAATACTTATTTTTAACCACAAGCCAACCTCTGCAATGTGTGCGCGCTACTTCTAGTTGGTTATGAAAATAATTTTTTGGTGCTTCTTGAACTATAATTTGCTGGGGGTGGGGAGTGGTATAAGATTCCAAGTTCATCTTCATGCTGTTTTAAAACCCTAACCTTCAAGCAAGAGCTTGATCTATGGGAAACAGCTGCAGAAAAGTAAATCTCCCTTTGAAAAAGTCCAGAATGTATTTTTGTTAAGTATGTTTTGAAGTCATGGTAGGAAAATTAGTGAAAATTGTAAATCTGCTTGCAAATCTGGTTGTGTCTAACACAAAGATTAGGGGAAAGATTCCAATTTAATAGTAAGACCATGACAACCCTAGTTAAGCATGCTCTAGGACAGAGCAGATGGGGCCCTTTGCTCACCTCCACGCGTTTTGGATTTATTGCATGCACCCAACACGTTTCATATTAGACACCCCTTGACTGTGTACTTGAGACAGCAGGGTTCAGTATGCACTTCCTCTGCAGACCAATATATTATTCTAAATTGAGCTAAAGTGTTTCCGTTTCATGAGTGATATAAAGTTCAGATTTGAGTTTTTAGGCAGCAGATTTGCAGTCATTCACCAGATCTTTTTCTTCATATAGGAAAAGTAAGCCTTACAAAAAAAAAAAAAAAAATCTGTCTTACTAAAAGTAATTTTAGATTTTGTTTGGTTTTGTTTAAACAACATACATTTATATTATTGTAACAGCTTACTTGAAGAACAGATTTGATCACCTCATGTTTAGTACTAACATATTTAAATTATGTCTTCATGATGATTTCATCTGAAGAGGACTGCTGTGAATGCAGGTGTAAATTTATTTTTTAAGATTGCATTTAACTAAAATTCTACCCAGAGTAATAAAAAACATTTTATAGAGCCAATGAAAAGAGGACCATAAGCGTTACTAAAAGTCTATTAGAAATGCTAAAAAACACCCCCAATCTTTTTGTTACCTTGATATACCCATTGATCAGGTTTTACCAGTTACTATAATTGCACATCACTACTAGAAATATCAAATTACTACATTTTCTTATCTGAGATTTGTGTACAATATTCGTAAATAGATGGTGTATTACAGATACAGGAATTGATAGGACCTGACTTTTTAGTTGTAAGAAACCCACTGAAGTTAGCATTTCTGTATTATATAAAGCAGTCAGCATGATGCCATCTCAACAACCGGAAGAACAGACCTACAGAGTTTCCAAGTTGTTTGCTAGAGTTGGATGAGTCAATGGCAGTCAGAAAAAGTACACAATCCTATCAGTCAGTTCCTGTACATCAGCAACTACCACTAGCTACACTACTCTTATCTTAATGTTTTATTTTCTCTATGCCTTGCATACTGCTGCCACTGCTTTTAAAACAATGCCAGCATGAAGACTCTGATTACTGAAATGAGGCTCTGGAATTTATGATGTATAAATTCACAAGATAAAAATGAATCTAAAATTGGCTTCTTTATTGTCAAGTTACTTCCTCACAGAGTTTTCATATTTTATCTTTCAGATGGCATCCTCAAGATGTCTCCTCTTAAAAGTCAGTCCAAAAAAAACTGAACAGTAAAAAAATATACTAAAACTGTGTATGTCCACTTATATTGTCTTTCACCTCAAGTGAAAATGATAAAGGCAGTTCTGCTGTACATAGAAACCTAGTAAAAGGGCCAGTTTGAGAATACTCTCACGGACTGTATAATTTTTTTAAAGTAATTGAGGGAAAAAGAACAACAAAGGCTATGGAAATGCAGAAGAGATTATCAAACACCTGGCCTACAGAGCTCAAATCTGTAGCTCTTCACAAAGTATCAATAAGAAAGTGATTTACATATCATCTTCAAAAGAATGTTTAATATATCCCTTGTTTCCATCTAAACATGATCATGATATTATGTGCTAAATAAACTAACTTTCTGATCTGCCCTTCATATAGCATTGCTGATAATACTTTAATTACTGTATATAAATTTCACTGGGGAATAAAAAAAAATGTCCTTATGGTCTGGTAACTCAGTCAACTACAATCTACAGTGTTTTGCAATAAAACACTGAAGTCAGACTCATCCTTTTATTAACTGCCTTCTGAATCTGTTGCCCAGCAAAGCTGAGTATGCACAAACTCACAACGTACGCACAAAGTCAGGGAGGATTAGATAAGAAGTTTACTTGATGCCCAAACTTCTATTGCACAAAAATGGATTAATAATTCCCTTTCTAGGGACATTTAGCTGTCACTTAAACTTCACTTTCACATAAGAAATATCTCCATTTCCCTCCAGGATGCTACTCTATATCCTCACAAATACAGAAAAGGGAGGCACTTCCACACCACTGTGCCAAAGGATCTTACCTCTTAACAGTTGATCTGTTCATGTCTGAACATACTTAAGAGAAGAGACAGTCCAGTTCTTTTACACAAGATACGTCACTGATGACAGTGCACTGGATTTGATGAGGTAACTAAGAACACAGAATGGTATAGGTTTTTTAAGATTTCCCAGAAATGTATTGCTGGTAGTACGTAAACTGTTTCCATATTTGTTGGAAGATAAAAGTGAAAGGTAAAAGTGAAAAGACTGTTCAGCCTAACAAATTGGCAGTGTGACAGGTCATTCCAGGGGCATTCCATTAAGTCCACCTTCCACATCACAAACACATAAACATGGAACACTGCAAGTGCTCTCATTCTTCGAAGATGATGTCTGTCAAGCCAAGTCACTGAACAGGCAAACATGATGTTGTCAGAAGTGTTTTTCATTTTTTGACTTGTGTGATTTATAACTAAATTTGTTTAAACAAAATTGATAACCGAGAGAAACACAAGCCAAAACAGAAAGCAACAGATTTTCTGTCAACAAACCTTAGCCATAGTTCTTGCTTCATTTCTTCCAATGGAAAAACCTTAGTGTGTGAGCTCAGCTGCTCAAGTAAATGAACTCAATTTAATTTTCTTTTTTTAATCCTCTACACCTGAGACATTGAGACACACTCTTGGAATATGACAGCTCTGTTCATTAAGATCTTGGTATAATCCCACTACGAGAAAATAGTATGTTTGAATATACACATGAAAGAGTGTAGCAGAAGGAGAGAAGGGTCATGTCTAAAATTGGTAACCAGGAAAACATCCACAGATTGGCATAATGGTTGAAACTTCAAGAACCACAGTACCAGAAAACTTAAAGGCTGTTGCAGTCACAACTTAAACAATATGTAGTCACTCTATAAGCCAAACTCAAAACCAGGATTTTTTGTTTGCTTGTTTGTTTTATATAACAGACACAGATGCTCACAGTTACGCAGTAAAACTGCATTAAGAGTAGAAAAAGGAATCAGCATCTACAAATACAAGGATGGGACAGATACAGCTCAACTTCTCACAACATCTGGGGAAATTCTCTTTGTGGCCTGAAGCCTGACTTGGACTAGCAATTCTGACTGCACAACAGACAGAAAAAGGCTCAAAAAGAATACTTTCTTTCTTAGCAGTTGCCGTGCTTTGAGCTCAGAGGGCAACTGAGCACCACACAGCCGCTCACTCCTCCCTTCCCTCGGCCCTTCACAGGGGGCCACCCCCTATAGCCCCCTCCCCTGCTACCAAAAAACCCCACCACTTACTCAAACCCAGGACAGCTGTGAAGTGAAAGAAAAATTAGGAAATTAAAGTTCCCCAAAATACACTGGAAGTGAGCAGAGCAGAAGGAATTTATTATACACTCTAGCCAGAGCTCATGTCTTTCTAAATAAGGAAAGTCCTAACTGAAAGGAAGTTATGATAATTTATATTACAATAAGTGTCATTTCCTCTGTTTTCAACAGAAGGTTCACCTCCTTAGCCCTTGAAAATTACCAAGCATCAAGTAGAAGTCTCCTTGGCGAAGTGGCATTGCTAATCCAGGTGTCTCTATGTCCCATGCTACCTTCAAGCCCACATGCCAAACAGCTGGGTCTCTTCCCTTTAGCTTTTGTTCATTACTTTCTTCCAAGGCTGAACCTTTAAAGAGAGAGAGGGAAAAACACCAGAGACAACAGACAAGGTGAGAACTGTAAAATACAAAATCTGGTCTAACTATACAGACTTAATGATATCCCACATTGGTACAATCTTAACAGGTTTAAACTTTCTATAATCTCCGTTTGGTATAATCACCATCTTCAAATTCAAAAGTACATTATAGCTTAAAAAAAAAAGAAAAAAGGGAAAGAGCCATCTCAGAACAAGATTTTTTTGCAACCAACTTTACGAAGATGAAAATTTCATGTTAACTACAAAGTAAAGGAAAAGTCAAAGCAAAGTTTGTAATGGACTCAAGTTTTTCTGAACTTAAGTACATGTAATGTGAGTTTCAGTTAAGCTTCACTCTTTCTTTTTTATTTTTTACACTACTAAAATTATAAGCATAGAAGAAAAAAGAATGCAGCAACACTGATATAAAAATAGATACCTTCTGAAAGATTTTCAAGTCATAAACTGCCAAAGCATTTTATGAACAGCCTCATTTGTTTACATACTTGCAATTTCACCAAATCATAAACAGACAAAGTAAAGTGAAATAATGGGCATAAAACACAATCTAGACCAGCGAAGTTGAGTGAATCTTGCTATCATATCTGCCATTCTTTTCTCAAAATTATTAGTCAAACATGCTAGATAATGTGCAAGAGCCAACGAAGCTTCAATACATTTGTCACAACATTTTTCTTATCATTAAGCAACATGAACGTGTTGAGCTTGGGGAAAAAATAATCCACTGCATAGAAATAGTATTTAGAGCTTAATCCCTCAGAACTATTTTCATAAGCTTACCTCACTGCAGTATAAACTGAAAGATACAGTCAGCATTTATAACAAGGTATTTGGGAGCTATGGTATAACAGTTTTATGGCTAAAAGTAACAGAGCATTTTGACAGAGGGAGGATGAAGTTTTAATAAGCAGTTAGCATAGAATGGCAGTGAACAGTTAGAAATCATCAACTATGTAGCATGCCTAATTGTTCCTTATAAGTTTGCAACTGTGTGTCCATTTCACTGTCTACTTCAAATGTGATCTCATGTAAGAATTTTTTAAAATTTTGTATTAATTTAATTCTAGAATAAAAATACTAAAGATTTAACTAATTATAATATGCACACATAAAAAGTGACCTTGAATTCACGCTTTCAAAATATTCAAGTCATTCATCTCACATGGTTACTGCAATGTTTGTTTAGTTGGGAGTAGCCTTTAATAATTAATAAATTGTCTTATTTTTTTATGTCAACTGAATATTGCCTAAATTCAGGAAGCAGACAGCCAAAACCTTTTAAAAAGCCAATCTGAAGTTCTTAGTTAAAACTCCTATTGTAAATTCAGTTCCTGTATTCCCTCCCTTCATTGCTGCAGTTCTCATCCAGCTGAAGCTTTGGCTTAGGAGCAGCTCTAGGCCTTTCTATCAAGGAACACAGAAATGAGAAAACAAGAGCTAGCAAATACTCAGAAAAATCAATACTAAAGTCTTCAAGGGGCTTTCATATTTTCTGCCCTGTTCAGATAAATTGTAACTTAATTTAAGAAAAATGTTTTCTGAAAACTGCAAATAGGATGGCTCTCAAGGCATTTTTAATGCCATACATCATGGATATTATAAAAAGAGGTAACCTTTCTGGGTTAACTCTCTCTGTTATGCTGCTTTCTCATTCACTCTGGCAGCCGCACTGTTCACAATATGGCACCAATAAAATATAGAACTACAATCAGAGACAGCAATTTCAATCAAAGTTTCCTGGGGTCCCCTCATAAATCCAGCACCTTTGGAATGTGCTCGTTAAAATGACTTATTTTTTGAAGTTTGATAAATTTTTTATTGCTTAAGTACAGAGTTCAAATGTAGCTCACAGTCTCCTTTTCTCTATATTCACAGTTATTGCACCTTATAATTATCAGCAGCAATTGAAACTGATTGCTCCTACCATGTTATTTTGGTAACAAATGGAAGCAAGCTGCTACTAGCTTTTAAATGCAAGCTATTTTGAAAGTGAGAGAAAGGAAAAAAAAGGACACTTTAACATTTGTGGTATATCTCCAGGTATTGTGGACAAACTTTTACATAAAAAGAAGTTGTTATTAAATTCTTTATGTTACACCTCAAGTATGACTCAATGCTGTGTATTCATTGATATAATTACAGTTCCCATTTAACTGAAAACATTTGGATGCATCTAAACCATGGGTTTTTGAGGGTAAATCACGTGGATCTTGCACATGTTTAGCACCTTAAGAACATATATTTACTTTGGAGTAGACCATACAGAAATGGTGAAATATAGCAGTATTTAATGGAAATATAATAAAACTATCTGCAAATTTGAACTCTTTTCATTAAAGTTTTATAGACTTTGTCCTGCAAGAAACCTTTACGCTCGCATCCCAAGTAAAATGGTGCAACCAGGTAAACAAGCTTACCACAACATAACAACAATACCTCATCAAACCTGTAATTAAGGTAGAACCATGAAAGAGAGAATGTAGCTGCAGAAAATTGGCCACAACACCATGCCTCTAACAAGACAGCTCTAATTTCAGGGATGCTGCAGCTATAGGACCCAATTTTATCAGGTTTGGGTCATGGTTAGGTTCAGAATAACATGCAACTTCCTTTCCTGGATCTAGTTTGGTCATCATTCCACAGCACAGAAAGTAAATGTAGCCTTGAAAGGTTTCTTTGCTATTTGGCACCAGAAATCATCAAGAAGAATTTGAGAGTTTTTTTGACGCTCTGAAACCTAAATGTTCTGTATTCAAGTCAAATCGTAATGCCAAACTACATCCTAAATGTACTCTTAGATAAAACATGACTTCCAGGACAACAGAATCACTGCCGACACATTGCTAAACACAAGCAGCACTGTAAACATCTACTTTGTTATTAAATCCAACTGAACATTGTTAGATACAGAAAAAATAATTATTTTCTTACAGAATGATTGATTTCTCCAGAATTTAAAAGAATTTGGGCACATATTCAGCAATTAATGAAATATATACATTACTACTGTCTTCCAGGGCAATTTATATGTTACATGCAAGAAGTGAAAAAAGCAGAGCACGCTTTGCTTTTCAGCTGAGTATCTATGAGTGAGTATCTACCCAGAGTTATTTCTTCTACCTTATTTTTGAAAAGCCATAGCATAAGAGGTTAATTAAACTGTACTAACATTTTAACTGTTGATTGCAACTGACATTTACAAAAACAAAAATTAGAAGATTTGCCAACACTGTTTTTATCAATTCATATTTGGAATACTGTGTCCAAATTTATCAAGAACAAAAGCACTAAAATAAGAAGAAAGAATATTCTGTCATCTCTTCATTCTTGAAGAAGAGACTTTATTTAATCAAAGCAGTGACAGCATGGTTAAAAAATCCCCTAGAACTCAAAACGGTTAATTCAAATGATGATTTCTTTTTAGAAAACAGGGATTTAAATCTATTATTATAAGAGTAACTGGATCACTAAAAATTTGTGATTCTCTCAGAATATAATTCCAACTGGCCAAAACCTACAAGTTACAGATGTGGCCACTTCAATCACATATTCATTTCTTAAGAAGTAATACATATCTACATACCATTTATATTCTTCCAACAAGGAATATTTTTACTATGTTATTGACATTAGAAACCGTTTAATATAATTGTTCTCATCCTGTACAACTGTCTACTCCATGAATTTTATCCATTAAGCAGTACATAAAGAGGATTATTGTTCAACTAGAAACCTAGATTGACTTTAATTCCAAACAACTTTTGTAGTTTTAAGATTTTATTTTTTTTAACCTAGTGAGGTAACATACATATGAAGTGAATCTCAATTATTTGTATTCACAATTATTGTAAAAATTAAATAGCCATCATTAGGTTTAATGCTAGGATATTGATTCTAACCAAACAGTGTGAAAAAATACAAACAGCATTTTGCAAAAGAAACAAATATAAAAGCTCCTTCATGATCAGTCATTAATGCAACTAAGTATAAGTTTATTAAACCTTCCAACATCACCTTGTCAGTGAACTGCCCCAGTTGTTCAGTACTTCAAGAGAATTATACAGAAAGTACACCTTACAGCAAGACGACAAAAAAAAGACATTGTAAAGAATTCTAGAGAAAACTATTTATCTAACTTCAAACATAGTTTGTGCGAAACCCAGGTAAGAGAAACATGGACACTTCCAATGACTACATTATTTTCTAACTCCTTTAAGTTGGTAACTGAAACAAGCCTCTACTTCAAAGAACATCTTTAGAACCAACTAGTGCTTTGCTAAGCAATAAAACTTCCTACAAAACTTACAAAGACCTGAGGGAAAACTATTAATTAGGAAATTTTCATGGATAAAATCCAATTGTTGAAAATACCCTTATTCTACCAGTATTTGGATTGCAATTCACTTTATAAATAGAGTAGGAAATAAAAATGGGTTATTAGCCTTACTATATTAAAACCCTGAACAAGTTTTTACCTTACCACTCTCATGTGATAGGATATTTGTAAGCTAATGTGTTATTAAAAGTCCTAAATTGGTCAAAATTTGGAATTCCCGTTCCATGGTAAATTCTGAAAAGTAAATTAATTCCGAAGAGTGTTATTGACAGTATAATTGAACACACACTCTGTAATGTATTCAGTTCTGCATATGCACCATGACTACCACTCATGTACTTCCAAGCAGTATACACATGAAAAGGAAATTCCCCAAATTTTTGTGAGGGCCTATTCTTATCATTTGATAACTTAGTTTTAACCCAGTGTAATGCAATGCATTTTATTTTAATGTCAATAAAAGCTAATATTATTCAGATGAGCATTAAGCAGAATATCTACCTTATTTTGTTGTTAGAAATGTACCTCATTTGAAGTTGCTTTGAAACAGTTTGACACAGGAAACAAGGAAATGAACGGTGATACTAATTAGAATATCAGCTTGTTCCAATATCTTTATGTTGGCTCTCAAATTTATTTTCTGGCATATTAAAAACTGCTTCTACTCCAATTAATACTGATCAAAGTTTCAAACATTAAATTTTCATTATAGCATCAAACACTGAACAAGTGAACAAGAAAGTAAAGTTGTTTCAATTACAGTAGTATCTGGTTTAATACTATTTAATCAAATCAGTAGGTACCAAAGAAATAATGATATAAATTTTCAAACGAAATGAAAAAGAAAACCATATAACCTTAATTGTGCATCTCTAAAATGTCCGACAAGCAGCTGCCAGCACACAGTAATGTTGCTTGACTCCTACAGCTCCTGCTGTTCAGAATCTGAAAACCTGGGGATTCTCCATTTGTGGCAGGACAGACTGGTAGGAGCCATGAAGCTCTGGAACCACAGTTGCCCCCGCTACAGGGCTGCCCCGGGTTCTCAGGGTTTGGAGTATTACAGAGACCAGTGAGAAATTGAGCTGACAAAACACATGTACAAGACCTAGCAGAAAAGCTAGTTTTAACAAATATCAACATGCTTAATTTATGTTTGAAACTCACACAGAATCAGTGTTTTCTCCCAGAAAATTATTAATCCATCTAATTGACATCTTCTAAGAAAAAATTGTTCCATCAAAAAATTTCTGACCACCTCTACTCTTTTTATTATGTACTCTATAATGAATCTATAACAGTGAGAATTCAGTGCTAATTCAATACAAAATGAACTAACAGAGTAACTACCAAGAAAAGATGCTGGCATATAAAGCAAATATAGTTATGGTAAATGGGAAGAGGAGTCAAGATACAATTCTACAAAGACTTAACAACAATCTTTAAATAGATGGGGAGCTTCTTCATGCTTCACACTTATGGAAAGCTTGATAAGCGATATAGTAAATATTGACAGTCTTTGTGAACTGCAGAAACCACCAACACACTGAAGTGATATGGAACTGGAAAGAATAATGCTATAAGCATTGATAAGTTTATAAACACCAGCATTTGAAAGCTATAAACAAGAAATCAGAAGTACAAAAAGACAATCCATTAGTTTCCCTAAAATCAAGTAGACTATTCCTCATGGATGTGCTGGGTAGAAAACTTCAACACACACAAGTATTTACTGTCACTTAAATTACAATGCCATATTCATAAACTATAAATAGGTTCCATTTCCTCCAACTTATGAGTAAGTAGGCCAACTATAAATACAGCTTCACTTTAGGGATATACAATGGCAACCACAACTTGAACACAGACAGATGCGAGTGAACTGTTTTCACATAGAGGTATGCTGCAGGACATTTCCTCATGATGCTCAGGAGCCATGCGAGGTGCCTTAAACTCCCTCTGAAGTTCATGAAGCCAACTTGAGCCATGCTCAGGAGCTATCAAGTGGAATTTAATCTTGTTCAGATTTAGATCTGACTTCATAAATCACTTTCTTCCCCAAGAAAGCATATTTTACACTATCCCCACCTACACTGAGATTTTGATATCAACTGCCAGTAGATTCCTCCTCCCCTCCAATATATAATAAAATTTCATTTTCATCAAAAACTTTTGGAATAATTGTACAAACTCAAATATTTGAAGCAATATTTTTTTTTTTTTTTTTTTTGTGGGGAGGGAGTAAATGTAAATGCTAGAATGATCAATTTACTCACTGGAAAGCTCTTAGCTTTTTAAAGTTTTCATGTCTATTTTTAAATCCTTTGGGGGGGAAAAAAAACCTTTATAAGTGTATTTATGAAAAAATCTTGTATGTGGCAAAAATATTAATTACATATAGATATCAAAAAAAGTTTTGATCTAAATATATCAAATATTTCTTTCTACTCTTGTCAATCAAATCTTGCATAGAATTTGCAGTGGTTTTAAAACACTATAATTTTTACCTAACTTGCTGAACGTGAAGAAACAGAATCAATTGATGAGTCTGAATAGACATAGCAGCTTTATTTTTTGTTAATTTATAGCTCTCTGACTCATTTTTCCCCTCCACATGCAAGCTTTATATTAAAGTAAAAAGTTTTCAAGCATATTACAATGAATCCTCACACACACTATTATTACTTTAAGTTCATGTTTCTTTAACTTAAAATGTTAATGAAAAAAATATTTATCTACAGTACTACTGAAAAAAAAAAAATTACCTGACATAAAATAACAATGTCTGCGGCAAACATAACAGAGAAAAGTTCATGAACAAAATAACACATCTACTGGTCAGGGAATCTTTTCTATTCAGTTTCTAAGCCAGTTGATGTTTTATGTCCAGGAAACTGTAAACATGATTATTTCAGTTGAAGGTTAAGTAACAAAGTCACCCATTTTTTCAAAACTAATAACAAATCTAACAAGAGAATGCACATGAAAGTATAAGCTATTATTTTTACATTATGGTCTTCAGCCAAAACCAACTAAAGTCAACCGGAACTCTTCCCATGTTTTGAAGCAGACATCAAAGGATTTTTAGAAGGAACAAAAATCAGTTGTGAATTATGAAACATAACAGATCATTTGCAAATTCAAATCAAGATCCTAAATTCTAATCTTATGTTTGCAAAACTGGAAGCCATTAAAAAAAATTCCAAGGCTTTATTCAAACATTGTTAGGAAAAAAATAAACAAAAATCCTCATATCTGTTCTTAAATAAAAATGGGAAAGGCATTTAAAACTAAAAATGAAATATTTAATGACTCTTCAACTACACTTTTCCCCCCCCTCAATAATGCATTTAAAAATTTTTTAAATAACTAAGATCCTGCAAAGCCTGCCAGACAACAGGTCTTTTAATGGAAAACTTTCACCCTTCCCAACTACAGAAATGTTGGCAAGTCCTCTGTAAAACATGCATTAGCACCACAGCATGCCTAGACAAACTGTATACACTTCCAAGTAAATACAGTAATACTTCTATACAAAACAAACCTAAAATGATCTTTCCAAAGAAAGAGTAGTAAAATCAGAATAAAGCAGAAGCGAGGATATATATGATGAATAATACAATAAAGACAGTGATCTCAACTACAATGAAACATTTTACAGAATAGAAAATATGCACATGCATTAACCTGAAATAGGTATTTGACAGATTCTGATTTCTGGGCTCTTAGTCAGGAATTTAATCACACCAATTTTTAAATCTACTTAGAGAATAACCAATAAGCCAGCTGCAGTAAACACAGGTATATTTTGTACAGGTTTTAGTAGAAATAAAGACAGGGCTTAAATACAGGAAGTACCATGATGTATTCAGGAGCATGTGGCAAACCTAGACTAGTGTGCAGGTGTGCTTATGTACATACACGCAAGGAAACAAAACAGAGCTTCAGGGATTTAAGATATTTATATCACTAGTCAATTCCTACCTCCCATCACTCACCTTCACAGCTGTAACTATACACAGCAACAGTTGACCTTTCAACCAGATTCTCGTCGTGGTGCCAGCTCACTGCCATGTTGCCCATTCCAAAATAAGGTTCTTGTTTCAAGTACAGCATTTGTAGCGGATCCATATAATTTAATAAAGTCACATTGTAAGATGTTCTGTTCTTTAGACTTACATAGTCATCCTCTGGTACACAACTGCTTTGGTCTTTTGAAACAGACTCTTGCTCCCTATCTATTACAGTAGTATCTTTAATTTCTCTGGCCTTGAACAAATTTTGTCCTTGTAATGCCTTGACTGCTTCAATATGTAAGTAGTCATTAAGTCTGATTAATGCTTTACAAGCATCATGTATTTCAGGACTGCAATATTTTATATCATAACCTTCAGTAGGCCAAGGAACTGTAAACAATCTTGTGTTCAAGTACTTGTAAGTGCATCCTGGATTTCCAATTAATATGCGAGACACTGGGGTAACAAAATCTTTTCCTTTGATCCTTACAAGATCTTGAAAGAAACAATTGTGTTTTCGCAAGGTCAGAAAGCCTTCTTGTACCATATCATGCAGCTCTTCAGGTACTGTATCAGATGTTCTGAAAATCAGCTTGGAATATTTTGTCTTCCACTAAAGGAGGAAAAAAACCCAACCAAACAAAGAACAAAAACAGCAAAAGAATTATTCTTTTTACAGAAACAAAAGTATTTAATATATTCAAGAACAGACAAGGCTAAGTTGACAAGTTATCAAGCATGAGTCTAGAATATGGTGAAGAGGTCCCTTTGCTTCAATCAGTGTGCTTTGTATCTGTAGCCTTCGAACAGCACAGTGAAAATATCCTTATAAAGTGTAACTACTGAAATCAGTAACTGTAAATTTTAATGATTTACAGATATAGGCTACAGTCAGATGCGTGGGTATAGGTTGATGGGAATTCTAAGTATTCTTTCACAATCATACTTAATAATGACAGAGCATTATATATTGTGACATACAAAGATTATTATTGCATGATTTGTTCCATTATGCAAGTGATAAGTATAAAAGAAAGAGCATGAACAGTTCTATAGCAGTATCCAGTATTTCTTTAAATAATTCTGTATATTGGACAAACTCAGGTCAGATTAACCAGTTACTACATTACATATGGTATTATGGCATATTTAAAAAGCCATTTTTACTACATATTTTTAAACCATTTAATATCCTGAATTCCTGACATGAATCACACACATGAAATTCCAAACAATTATTACAAACTGGAGGGAAATAATATGATGTAAAGCAACTAAATGCCTGAAAACATGCACCAGAAAGGAAGCACACAGATCTTACAAAGGTAACAACATTGTATTCCCCTCCTGAACTTCAGAGGTAATGTCTTCTACATTGTGTTGCCTTCAGAGGCAAGTTACCTTTGGGTTGTGTTTCAAGATTATATGCTTAAAAAATATTTTAGCATTAAGTTTTACACGGTATATTTAGGATCGTACCTTAAACAAAAAAAAAAAAAAAAAACAAACACACACACACACACACAAAAAAAAAACACAAAAACAAACAAAAACCCTACACTGATATCTCAGACCAAATCAGGAAATGGAAACACATTTTCGATATATCACGTGAAAATGGTTTGGTCGTCTTTAAATCTCCAACCAGTCACTGTGCTATGTCCTACATAAGGAAAGCATTAAGGGATCAGAACACAGGGTGAAAGCTGGGTTCACACTGGACACCTTGTTGTTTTGGGGGGATGGGAAAGGGGGAGTAATCATGTACTCTGTGTTGTAACTCTGACAGCAAGTATTAAAGGCCAATTCACTGTTAGCTCTGAAAGAAGTAGATGCATTACTAGCAACTACAGGATGAAAAAAAAAAGGCACATTTGATGCTCAATTCCTCATATGAACGCTACACATACAATTTTAAATATACAAATGCTTTAACTTCTAATGGTGGTACTCACCACAGAGAATCACCCAATCAGAGATGACCCAAGTGATAGAATAAAGTTAGAAATCAGCAATAAGGACCCCTGATAAGCAAACTGCCACTTACATAATGAATTGATAGTATGTACTTCAGATATTTGTGAGTTGCCCTGTTGATCATAACTGGCTTTAAAAACTACACAGTTTCAGCCTATGATTTGGTGTCCATTTCTAAAACCTTTCATCGGGGAAGATGCATTGAAAGAGGTTGTCAGTGAAGTTTTGCTTGTAACAGAATTTCTTAGCTTTGTTCAGACTGTTTATTTCCATACCTGACAGGATACTGTAGATTTTTTACTTGCACACTACGTAACCAAACACCCCTTTCCAACATGTTCAAAGAACACTGTTTTATAAGGGGTGGATCCTTAAAGGAGTAAGGCAGGTCTCTTCAGAAAAGACAGACTATAAACCTAAACTGTATCTGATATTCTATTTTGCCAATTTGTTGTCTTCAAACTCTCATCCTTCCTTTCTTCTCCATCTGTAGTACATTTAAGCATCATGGACCTTGTAATATCTACAGCTGTGTTTCAAGTAACATTCCATAACCACTATATGAATTTAAAAGGTGCTTGTGATGCTTATGATTACCACAGATGCTTAAAAATACCTAGCATGCAAACAAACACTACACCAAAAATATAATTCTATATGATGCAAAAAGAATGTATCTAATCTCTGTGAAGGTTTGAAGAGGTCTGATTTCACTGCTTATCTTCTTCCCATTGTCTTCTACATTTATGGGTTACTGATACTGAGCAAATGAGATGGCACTTGGGCAACCCTAGCTTCATCTTCTCTTTTCACATCAGCTCCACAAGATTGTGGATTTACAAAGATTGGAAAAATAAAAAGATGATGGGCATAGCAGCTCTTGGCAGCGTAGCAGGACAAGGAAGGAGGTAACAGTAAGATGCCTGAGTCTCAAAAGAGAGAAGAGCTTCTTCATGAACATTAGTTTAAGACTGAAAAGAATCTGTTTGGGTTTTGGTTTGGTTTTGTTTTGTTTTTTGTTTTTAAATAACAAAAATAATAATGATTCTGTTAAGCTCTCCTACACTTTCCCTTGCCCTTACCCACAGAAGTGCTTTTATTGCTAACAGATAGCTATGTGTTTTTATATTATTACCCCTACAGCTGTTAAAGATCTCAGTCAAGAGCTTACTTCTACCGTGTTCAGCACTGTAAGAATACAGAGAAAACCATGCTTTTCCTAAGCTTCCTACAACCCAAATAAACCAGAAAGGTAAAAGAAGCATATTGATTGCTCAGTATCACAACTGTAATCCCATGGCAAAACTGGAGTTTGACTTCATGCTTCTGAGTCACAGTCCAGTACCCAACCCATAAAGGCATCTTTCTTCTTCTGTAGTGTGATGTATGCTAAACTTCTCTTTGCCTCAGAATTCTGTAAAACAGAAATTCATCCTTGCAAAGAGTCAGACCAATTTTTATGCTACCATATCTATCTTTGAGCTATATATCAATACAAGAAAGGTGACATGTCTGTAATGTAATCACGGTTGCTGTAGCTGTTCGAACTACGAGATTCTTTCTTATGCTTTTCATCTTACCGTGTTCCCACTTGATCTGAATGAACCTAAAATTCTTGCCATATGTTTTGTAGCTGACCTAGAAAGATCCCAGAAAGATGTAGAATATTCTATTAATTTTGTGATGCGCTGCCATACAGTCATTTGGTTTACTACTTATGTCACTATTGGGCCTGTTTTAAATTTTATTTGGTTTCATTTGAGGCATGCATTCCAGTTTCCAGTTCATTTTGTAAGCATTCCTAAGGGTTATTTACTGTTTTAAAGTTGAACTAAACCAAAAAATTTCAAATTTCTATGTTAACATTTTCCCTATTTTGCCAAACCTGAGCTTAAAGTATAGATATCTTCACAACTCTGAAAAAACAAACAGCAAAAAAACAACCTTAAAAGAATGGCGACATGTATTTTATTTTAACAAAGCATAAGAAACAGTGATTCATTGTTACATGAGTTACCTGGCACTCAGGTACTGATACTCAGGACAAAATCCTAAAGTTATATGAAGTTTACGGAGTGTTCATTCTTGAATATCCCAATTATAAAGATCTTATTTCTCACCACCTGGAAGCACACTATCAGCCATCAGGATACCTTTTTCATACCAGATTTCACAGTGTCTCTTTGAAGAAAGATTTATTGTTGTTCAGTGCAAACAGCCATTTTAGTCTTAAACAAGCAGAGTTAAAATAAATACATTACCAATTGATGGAAATCGGCATCGGCTGGTGTCATATATGGAAGTCTATTCTCTCCAAGTTCTTCAAGAAGCTTTTTTTTCTGTTTTGAAGGGGTAAAATTGAAGTAGAAAATTAGACTGAAAAGCCATGATATAAACAGCCAACTACAAAGCTAGTTGTATAAAAAAGACAAAAACAGCCGCAATTATTTCTCTTACTACCTTCAGTTCTGGAAAATTTAAATAAGAAAAAATGGATGCAAGAAAATCAGTGGAGCTTTTCCACTTACAAAGCAGTAATTCAGAATAGGTAATTTCAGAACACATGAGTACTCTCTCCAAAATTATTTTTTAGATAATCAGTCCTTATTGCACTCATGAAAATCCACCTTGGTCTAATATTCTTCAGAACTGCGCCTACTTTACATACATTTCTTCTTTCTTTTTCATTTTATTTTCTACTTTGATTTGTGGATCCAATGGGTACAAGCTCATATTCCATTCCATTAAATGCTTCAATAATATACTTTATTAAAACAACGAGCCTCAATGTTGGGCATACTCTAAAGTGTTTCCTGAAAAGTGTGTACGAAGGAAAAAGAAAACATCATCTGCTGTACAGCAAAGGCCCTACAAGCTGACAATATTTAAAATGCCATCCTCAGGACCTGCCATCCCAGCAGCCTGCCCCAAATCTGGTTTGACCCTGGCAGTGAGCTACAAACCGGCTGACTGTGGAGACTTTCTCTGTCTCCTTGCTCTCTTGACTGCCTTTTTACTTCTGTTTTTGATTGAGAGTATCTCCACCAATGTTTATGCAACATGACCCCTAAGAAACTGTTAAGGTAAAAGACTGATTTTCCCCAAACTGTATTTTATTAATAAAAATAGAATTTTTGTATTCATTACAATCAATTGTGAAGGTAAAGATTAGGAAAGTGCAAGAGACTTTTGAAACATGCCGTCAGATTTTTGGAATCAAACAATCCCAATCCACAACAAGCCCACACTTACCTACCCACAGTCTAACTAAACATGACAGAAATACAGATTAACAACAGTGTAAAAGCTGTTACAGTGGAAATATTGGCTTAGAAAATTAATATACCATTTCCTTTATTATTTCTTTCTTTTAGCTTGCAAGGATGGTTTCTCTACAAACTTTGATCATTAATACATATATACTAAGAAAAATGCAACTCAAAGATCATAAAACTACATCTGCCATAATGTTTGAATACTTCAGATAACAGGACAGAAATTGTTATTTTTATTACAATATTTTCAACTAAATAAGCACTATCACAAGAAATAATTGAAGCTGCAGCTTGCTCAATACTTTTATGTTGAGAGAGCAAGACCAGATGGAAAGGGAATACAGTTTTTAAAGGAATGATAAGGGTGTAGTACAAAGGAACATGCAGAATAAGTTACAAAAAGGGTATCACTAAAACTTTCATTAAACCAAGTTATATGGGAACAACTACATATTTCATCACCTAGATATCACTTCAAATTATTGCACAGACAAGAGAATTTATTGTTAAAAATACTTTTTTTTTCTTCTTGTAAATTCCCTTTTCCATAATCTTTTTGGGTTGCATATACAGGTCAAAACAGATTGTTCTATTCCGGCATTCCTATTTTAAAAAGGAAGAAATACTACATGTAGTAACTAATTCCTGGCTCATAGAAAACACATAAACAAGGAAAGCTGAACTATGCCAAGTGTTGCAGTGTATTTCATTCTGTGACAGTGAATTTCACTTATAATGCTACACATCATGAGGATGTGTAGAAGATTTTAAAGTTTACAGCTAACAGATCAGTCAAACTAAAATAAGAGCAGGTAGCTCTCCCTTACTCATCTCCACACTCACAATCTGCTGATCACCAACTCGACTGAGAAAAGCAGCACTGAAGTTTCTGAACTGGTAATGGCATTTCTCTAGGTCCCTAGTTTTCTTTGGGGACAGGTTGCTGATATGGTGACACGAAGTCATTGGTGAAAGTGAGCATAATGTAACTTCAGATTGAGTTGGCAGAAAATGGCATGCTAATTGGCTGCATATTCTAAACCAGTAGCACTTCTTTATTACAAGAAGCTTGCTACAATTTTATTACGTGAAATCACTGAAAACATTAGATTAATTAGCTTTGTTATCTGTAAGATAAACCATATTAAACTGCAGAGAGAACCCACGTGTATATTTCAACATGGACATTTCCCACATCTGTGGGAAAAAAAAAAAAGGTGGGAAGAAGTGAGATTCTGACAATTTTTGTCAAGTACCAGCCTCTTGGCAAAAAGCACACAACATTAAAATGCACTCTTGTGTATAGGTAGTACTAGTTCACATTTGATTGTCAGATCTGGCTAAGTGCCGCTCCTCAGCTTGATGTACAGACTAATACACACAGTTGGGTGGTATAACATGCTGCTCATCTCTTATGCAAGAAGCTGTCACACAGATGTCAAAACCATCAAGCTACTCACAAATGCCTCCAAAAAGTAAAAAAAAAAAAAAAAAAAAAAAAAAAAAAGAGGAAAACTGAAGATCTGGCTATACCAGCTGGCTGATGTGTAAGTCTAAGCACTGTTACATAAGCATTGCACATAGGCTCTTTCAACACATAAACCACTAAATAAATAAAATAGTCTTCGCTTGAAGGCATTGGGCATCTTAAAAAGCATTTTTCTAAATCTGAATTTTGCATTATAAAACTTATTAAGAGTGCAACAGTTTATTCAGGTACCAGTATTATGTTTCAGACACTATAAAAAACAATGTGATTTTATATATATACATTAGCGATGCCAATACATGAAAGACAATCTTATGTGCACCATCCCTATAATGCCATTATACACTGTGCAGTGCCCAAGAAACCTTGTTAACTGTTGTACTTGAGCCTTCAGGAAGGAGAAAATCTCTGCAAATATTTTATTTTGTAGGCTGCTGTGAGTGTTAATGAATCTATTATATCTGACTGATAACTGGAATGAATACCAGAAGCACTAATGACCAATTTTAGAGTGTGTGATGAACTTCCTGCAGACTTAACAATCGCTGCTCATTTATTACCAATAAATGAGTTTATTAATGAGATGATTGGTTGTAAAATTCAGTAAGTAGAATAGTAATAAATGGAATCTCTCAATCACTACACATATCTTTTTCTTTTTTTCCTTAAGATTTTTCATGGCAATAGCAATAATGCGTTTTATGTTACAGAGCAGGAGAAATAATAGAAACTCAGCTAATAAACAAAGTCACAAGCCAAAACGCAGTTATGTTACACACACATGGTTTCTAATTTTCAAATTAAGTGGTATAAGGGAAAGATGGGACTTAATGACATTTTCTGGCCAAGAAGCATGACAGTGTAAAAATTTTTGCAGTTGACATATTTCCCTGCAGGGTGTCAATACCATTCTCAAAAGGTTTCATTTCTCTCTTAAAATTAAGACAAAAGTTCAATATCTAGGGTACAAAGGCTTGTGAAGGCTTTAGTGTTTCAAACATAGAATTCTCATTTAGCATCATCATCAAACAAGTCAGAAGACAACAGTCATTTTCCAATTTACAGATCACTGTCTTGGCTGAAACAATGTATTAGAAAAACTAATTTTATTGAAATCACATTGAAATATTATTAAAATTAATTCTGACTGCTATGTCACAATTTCTAACACATGAAAACACTGAAAACATTAAGAAACAAAAGTTTGTTTCCCCCCCCCCAGTACTTAGCATAAAACACAGTGAAGAATTTATTGAAGATACTGCATTTTTTAACACAAGGGAGACTGAAGGAAATGCAACTAGTATTTATCTCTAAAAATATAAGCCTGTTTGCTGCCCTGCATTCAGAGAGGATGTCAGCTTCACTACATCAAATAATCTCTCTGGACCTGGAGCAGCATCCCATACAGGTGGAAAAAGCCAGTTACACAAGTCGAAGACATGGACAGATACAACAGTGCCTATGAAACATGTAAGGATGTTAGGTTTTAGTTATACAACAAGAACTCACTCTGATGAGCTGTTAAAGTATGCACTTTATTCAAACCAGTAGACTGCCAAATCGCATGACTGTTACTCATTATTTTGGAAAAGCCCATCTCATTATTCCCTAAAAAAGATTTTATTCAGCAAAGACATTATTTTGAAACTTCTGACATGCATGTTCCTGACCTCTGAGGGGATGCAAGCAACCTTTTTTCAGCCACTGATTGCGTACTTTGGCCTTACAATCAGCATTAATGCAGAGTGAAGCAAAAGATGAATCGTGCTATGATAAAGATACGTGAAAGAAGACAATTCAAACAAAAACTGAATATCTCAATCTCACTGTTGCATTTACCTTCTTATTTTAGTAGTTCTTAGATATTTATTATATACAAATATTTCATATATACTTCACACTAGGGAACAACCATTTTTAATACTCTGCAGATGGCTGAGAACTGTCTGGACTCTTCAAATCTACCTTTCAGACAAGCTGGTGCTTGACTGATGTGAAGAAACAAGCACAACAACAAAACAATTCTACATACTCATATACCATCTTCCCCGCAGAATAACTGAATTTTCTGATTCACTACTTGACTCATGTCACAGTGACTTTAAGTCCCACTTAACGTTGCCTTAACTTCATCAGGTCAATGATTTTTTTGGTTGGGTTTTTCTGATTGTTTGTTTTTCTTGTTGTTTTGGTTTGGTTTTTTATAATCAAGAAAAATGGAATATGATCCTTATTCTTACTTCTCTCTACCCCCAGCAATCTTACAGCACAGAGGTAAAAGAAAGCTAATCATTTTACCTAGCCTGAATTTTACCCATCTCATGTATACATCTGACAAATAATCTTAGTGAGGCTGAAGGAGGGAACAAGATACTGCTGGAAGTGAGAATACCAGAGGCAGGCCTGGTAGCTCTGAAACACCAGCTCCTCTCACAACCTACATAAGTCCTTCTGCCTTAACTCCTTTCATTAAAAGTTCTTAAAACGTTGGCTAATTTTTTCATCCTAAAAAGTTTTGCTAACTGCCCACTGCAGTTTTTACACTTTTGAGAATACTTCACTCCAGAGCAGA